TTTTTATACATCCTGAAATAAGAATTTCTGACGCGTAGCGCCCCTAACAGGAAAAACGCACACTAACTTATCCGAACGCTAAAAGAGGAGCTAGTAGTTCCACTATGGGCACTATTGACAAAACTCGCCGATATCGACTTTTTCGCCCTCTACGGCAATTGCGGGAACTTATGAGTTTCCGGGGCCTGGCGGGTGTGCGTGCAGCGCTGACTTCGTGGACAGCGCGCCGCTACTTGCCGCGTGATCACGCCGACTAGCGAGATGCCGACGTGATATAGTGCCTATTCTGGGCGCTGAAGTCACAGCATGCTTCCCGCTAGTGTGCTCGTACCTTTCACGGCTATTGCCGGCGTTTCGAGGGTTAACGAAGCCGATTGCGTTCGCAAAAGGCGACGTCAACACCGACGAGGCGCGAGCCAGGGAAGGCGAACGGAATCGTCGGCAGTGAAAGACCAGCGACACCGACGAGGTGCGAATCAAGAACTCCTATTGTGCTTGGGAATACAGACGGCACGTGGGTAACGCCGACGATACGCGAAGCAAGGAAGTCGAGCGCAAGTGTCTTCAACGCGTCCCACCTCCCGTTTTCTTGTTTCAAACAACAATTTACTGAGGTAAACGCCACACTCAGTTTCGCTTCAAACTGTTCTTCTAGCACCCACGTCGACGCCCGTTTCCGCCGGGTCAATGACGTGCGCGCAGCTGTTGCTTGGCGTCCCAATCAGGGTTCCCTTCGGGAGAGATGGTCCATAGTTATTGGTTCTGATTTTTTTATTCGCGTCTTTATATATATATATACATATATATATATATATATATATTTATATATAATGTGTGTATGTGTGTGTGTACGGGCCATGGCTGCAACATCAACTCAAAGTTCCTCTGAGAATATCCACATATTTAAATTTACTTGTTATAGCAACAATACACTACTATAAAGTTATATGCTGCGAGGAGTACAGTTAACTCATATAATAAAGCGTCGAAAACCGAAACAGCGTACGATCACAGCAGGCGTTAAACAATGTGAATTTGCGATGAGATGTTGGCCTCAAGCACCATCAACAATAAAGGACCGCAAACATAATTAGAATTTTCGTTGTCAACGAGAGAAACAGAAGTGTGCATCTGTGCAAGGTGCGCTTGTTCTCTCCCAGGCCCGTGGCGGGTATCGTGCGAGCTCGCCAAAAAGAGTTATGCCGGGGTGGGCGCTGTCCAGCTCGACTTGCAGTAGGCATTCTAGCATAGTTTAAAAGAGCCCAAACACAGGCGCTCAGACACTCATTTCAGTGTGGCACGATTAGGCTGTCCACCAAAAAGTGAAACGGAACTGCCGATTTAGAAGACAAGGGGAACATGGTCAGATAACAATAGTATTGCGTCTACTGAAAAAGGTAAGACGTATAGTGTATTAGTCAGCATTTCCGTTGAAAAGTTTTGGCAAGTAGCCAGAGCAAAGTTTAAAAACAATAGTGCTTATGAGACCACCACAACAATGGCATATTTGTCGGCCGCTGCGTCTCCCGTTGGCACCGCCGGTGTCAATAACCACTCTCACTCACAACGAGAAAAAGTAAGTTGAGGAAACAATAGTGACATTCAGATGATAGTTGAACCCGGACCCTCTGCCTGGCAGCAGACTATTCTAACACACAACCAAGATGCTTTTTAGAAGCAAAGCTCCTTAGTTTTGCGCGATTTTCGTTGTCGCTGTTATGTCCCAGTCGGACTGAAATGCATGTGTTACATATACGTTTTATGTAACTTTGATAGTACGCATATGGTTTAAACTAGACCATACTCTGTCTGCCCGACCATCCGTTCATCTGTCCGACCATACGCCCCTGTACATGCTGCTAAACGGGTTCTTCTACGTTGTTAACCAGCCAGTCTTCTCCATTTATCAATTTCTTTCTCGCTCTACTCCGAGCTGGTGGTGACGCAGCGCGGTGAATGCACCCGAGAAACGCAGAGTGACTTGTCGCGACAATCTGTACACTGCATGGGTGTGGCGAAACATAAAAAGTGGCCACGTATCTGCATGTTATTCTGCAAATGTCGTCAAAAGACGACAGTTTTGTGCGTGTACAGAGTGAACAAAACATATATTTGATGTTCTGTGCAAGAAAATCGGTTAATGGTAGTTTGGAGGCGCTGTGTTAGAGTGCCTCGAGTGTGCGGCGGAGGTGAACGAGCGCATCATGTCATGTTGCACGTGAGACATGAGCGCCATCTGGCAGTTTTCTTAAAAAACAAAGCGTTCAGCTCTGAGACGGGCGTGCGCGCCTGTCTCAGAGGTGATAAAGTGTAAAACGCAAGGCGACGGGTAGGGTGCCACCAACGTGTCGTCTTAGCAAAGCGTTGGAAACACTGCCAGTTCTGTGCAAGCATTTCATTGTCAGCGCAGCGTGATAAACGCTACGGTCCTTAAAATTTCCTACGTATGCTTTTTCTGGTAAAAGATGCACATGCAAAATATACACGTGTTGTTATGGTGCCTTAGATATGCGCAATAATTGCTATTTAATTGACAATCACACAAGTATGAACGCTGAATTTCGAGAAACATTGTGGGTGCTGTGGATGGGGTCGGCTGTTTGGGGTATCGTCTGCTGAAGTTTACTGTATCTGGTACCGTTAAGAATGGACAAAAAGACAAATTTACAGACAGACAGACAGACAGACAGACAGACAGACAGACAGACCGAAATTTTTTCGTCGAAGCCTTGGCGTCGATCGCTTTTAAAAGCAGCACCACACGCATTCATACGTGTATATCTAAAAGGCCGATGCATAGTTCACGCAAAATTGAATTAATCAAACACGACACAACCGTCAACATGGCAGCACGAACGCGATTTAGAATACTGACTGACCCAACATCGAGGAGGAGTGTCAGTTTTCTTGACAGTGATTGCTATCACACAAAATGTATATCAGCACATATAGCCTGCATCTCCCACGTGATTGCACCTTTTGCAGTTTAAGTGGTTTGCACGAGGTATCCGTGCCTCTGTGGTTGCTCTTTCGACGTATATCAGTTCATCATAACGCCTAAATACTGTGCTCTGTTACTCGTCTATGTGTTAACATTGCCCTAGAGTGTATGAGCCAGCGTTTCCGTAGGGTAGTTTTGCCATGTAGCCAGAGTAGATATGTTATGTAGCTTAATCGACAAATTTGTATCCAAGTGGAACAGTAGTAGTGATATCGCCCAGAGCGTTCATTATTTTTGTTTTTGCTGTATTCGATTTACGCGCACAAAAACTGTCAGCCACTGTCAGCGCGAACCACGACTCAGTATTCTGGAAGCTTTACTATTGTAGTAGACTGTTCTGTCCAGATTATGCGCACAACGCGAACATTACAGATTCTTACGTTGCCGCTAACGATAACGCTGAAATATTTGACGGCATCTGTATAAATGCCAATCCACCTCACCGTTTGTCAATTAATTGGCGGCAAACACTCTGTTCACCGCTACCAGTGGCAATGTGTATCGCTGTAATCTGACCTCCCATTCACCGGTGACATATTCAGCCCAATAAACAGTTTCATGTTCGACCTTCAGTCTGCTCTTTTCATTGAGGTCACGACTCTGTGATAATATAAATTAAATTCTTATTATTTAGCAATAAACAACTCTAGCGTGAATAATGCAGTGCATAGATTTAAGAACACAATTTATCGCTCTTGCTCGGTTTTCAAGCCGCAAATGAGATTCATATAAAAAAATAAATTCTACTTATTCCGTTCGCCAGACGTATAGTTTGTGCAGAATAGAGTTCTCCAACCTAGAAAAATTTCGAATATAATCTAGCAAACCAGTCGGAGAGAACATTAAAACTTGAAGCAGCTTTGCCTTGCAGCAGCAAATTCAATTTGATTGCTGGTGCTTACACCATACTGGTCCAGCTCCAAATGGTCAGCTCTGCCGTCAGCTTCATCTACCTGTCTTATCTGGTTAAGGTGGACACTTTGGCTTCGTGTTGTCTCAAATTTCTGTTTTTGTCACCTTCACACGACCAGACATTGCATTCAGAGACACTGGTATGTTGCACCACTATGGGTATTGGGCAGCACGATCGGCGTGCTAGTTACATAATGGCGAACATGAACTGAACTTCGCCAATTCGTACTTGCAGGTGCCCCACGCATCGCGTTGGAGTTCCCAACACGCACCGCCCTTCTGCTGGGTAGGCCGTCCGCACATCAACTTAGCTGGCCGCCAGCTGTTGTAATACTGCATACTACAATAAATAACTGCTTAATTTGCCAAATTTTTATATATTTCTCGCCAGCTCAGGTAAAAAATAGTGAATGTCATGCAACGTAGCCACCAGCGGCAACCATGCTGTGGCTCTAAATTTTCGGTATAGTTGTAAAGCTTAAGCAAGTAGTATATTAAAGCTAACACACCGATAATCACTTAAATCAAGAATATAATTTATATTACTCATGGTCGTTTCTCGGGTAAATGTTTCTTTGTTCCTTGAGCAGATATGTAAACTCTTTTTGCAATTGAAGTGTTTTTCAGCCCTTATAACAAGGCTTCTCAGTTAAGGGAATAATGATTGCCCATAGAAGAATCCATATACGTAACAAAGTCCGTGGGGATCTGCTCCATGGTATTTCACGTTGATCCGAATACTATAAAAAGATTGGTGACGAGGTCATGTTGAATACAAACGACGACGCAAAAACATTTCGCCCCTGTCGGCTGCTATTGCTTGCGACATGGAGGTTTGCTAAGAAATAATGGCAAACCTTTGCCGTCTCTGCATGACAAAAACAATGCACAATTTTCCTAGAAAGGTTTCACCCACAATGCACATAGAACAATCGTTCTTTCTCAGTATTTTTTCACGCTCAAATACGAGGTGCGATGGGTTGAAAAGCTCGTGTTCGACAAATCTTCTTTTTCTAGTTTACTGATATCTTTTTCCCACTTCGCATCCGTCTGAACGACAGCTAGTTCAGTATTTCTAAAACTCGCTGCGTGGTAGCACGACTGACATGTAGAAATAAGAGGCTGACTGCACATAAATGTAAGAAAAGAAAGCTGATATTTAAGCAATGACTGCAAAGTGTGCCACTGGTAACAGTTGTTAATTTCTCTACAACTTATACTCGTGAACTTCAATGGCACCCTTGAAGTCTAACTTATATTCTCTATCTGCATTACTAATTTTTTCTATATGGACTGCTCAAATCGGTAAGTAAAGTAAAATAAGAACTGCTTCATTTTTTTCTAAAGCGGAAGCTGTTATGAGATTACAAGTGTCGCGTGCGCCGTAGTTGTACGCTGCCGGAGCCGGTATGCGTTACCGCTACTGCGCGAAATCAGGAAACCGCAAATAGGCGCCTTATCTGCATATCTCACTGCAAATGTCGTCTAAAGACGATAGCCTTGCGTCTGAATGGGAGTGAACAAAACCTTTATTTGATGTCCTGCGCAAGGAAATCGGTGAGTGGTATTTGGAGGTGCTGCGGTATAGAGTGCCTCGATGCGTGCAGCAGAGGTGTACGAGCGCATCGAGGAACGTCATACTAGAGTAACTGTATATGGGTGAACATATACAGTTACTCTACGTTATACGTAAGACATGAGCTCTATCTGGCAGTTATCTTTGAAAACGAAGCGGGCGGCTTGCACACCCGTCTCAAAGGCGATAAGGTGTAGAACGCAAGTCGACGGACAGGTGCCAGCACCGTGTCGTCTTAGCAAAGCGTTGGTAACACATATATGCTACCGTCCTTCGAATTACTCATATATGCCTTTTCTATTATAAAGACACACATACAGAATATTCACGTGTTGCTAATGTTGCCTCAGATATGCGCAAGATTAGCTTTTTATTTGACAATCACACAAGTATGAATCCATAAAACTTGAGCAATATCGGTGGGTCTGCGGATGGGCTTGGATTTTAACCGTTTCGGGTATCGTTTTGGTGGACAACAAACAATTCCATCGACAGACAGACAGACAGACAGACAGACAGACAGACAGACAGACAGACAGACAGACAGACAGACTAAAATTTTGGCGTCGAAGGTCCCCAAGAAAGACTGTCGCCTTTAAAAATTTCACCTTGTGGTACAAAACGCCATCGACAAGTTGCTTGTAGCCCACCGTACTGCTTAAGCGTGACAATTTTGTCGTTCGCCGACTAGTCGTTGGATCCTCTGTTTCATCGGCCACGACATCTATTCTCATCCACCAGACCTGGTCTCTCTAGCGCACGCACTTTCGACAGCCTTGCCCGATGAACATGCTCGCAGGCCGCCATTATCCCCGTCGCCAAGGCCGCGTTGTCATTCTTTGCAACGAATACGTCAACCTCCTAGCCGTCGTTGGAGTGGACGCGGCTTGTTACACCTCACCGGCCAGCACCTTTGCCGTCGTCTCCACCTCGTCCGCCTCGTTGCCGTATGGGAAGACGACAGTGTTAGCCGTCACAGTGCGCACAACATACGCCGTCTAAATGGAGGAGGCGGCCATTGCCTAGGCTGCCATCTCCACCGAAGCCCGTGTAGTACTTAGTGAGTCTAAGCACGCCATCTTGAATTTTGTCTGAGGCCTTGTTTGGCCTACGACACTGAGGCTCCTTCTCCCGGTCTTGCTGCAGGGCGAACCATGCTACATTGAACTGTTCTCGGTACCTGCCCATTCGCGTCACTCCGGCAATGAGTCGGCTCACCAGCACGCTTGAGGTTTTGTCAGCCCAGTGGTCGACTCTGTTGTAAAGGTGTTTGAACGCCCACCGGTAATGGCAAGCGCATCGACAGACTTCGAGAACAACGATTAAGAAAAGAACGTTGAGTGAAATAGAACACTCTGGTTGACATGGATCCTCGGCTTTGCGTCTTTTTCATAGGGTGCTTTTTGACGCCAAAGCCTGATTTTGCTACATCGATTTTGATGTCGACGAACCGGGAATCAACCCATCAATGACCCGAGCCTTTCATTCCTGGTGCGGTGAGCTGCACCGCGATCTATACTGTCATGGAGCGGACGAAGAACGGGCCTCACAGCGAACGATGAATACGAATATCATCAACGGTGTCAATTAGGTGCTCTACTTGAATAAGTTCGAGCTTTCTCAACTTCTACTTCTTCACGGCTTCTACTTCTGATGACCAACGACCTGGCGGCAGACGTCTATTAGGTAGTTATGCAATACGATGACGCCGCGCACAGCACGCTGGCATTGTTCGAGCACCATATCAACGTTCTGAAGACCTCTTCTACGCCAGAATCATCTGCAACTCCAGCCGTGGGCGCCGTCTTACAGCGCCGTCTGCAGGTTTTATCGATTATGACTGGTTTGGCTGACACCATGTCGCAGCCACCAGTACTAAGCTACAAAGTACGTGACGTGGTTGTTATAAAGTACTGGGTGGGCACTCTTCGGCTTTTGTCTCTTATGCGTGCAGTTCGATATGAGACTCGTATGAAGAGTCATGTCGCATTAGCCGCTTTTGTCGTGAAACGCATGGTGTATTCGTCGTGTCTTCGGGCTTTTCGCTGACCATGCCTGCAACATTTATTTTATTGGATTTGGCAATCCATTCGCTCTACTTGGTTGCGATTCGGGACCAGTCGTGTTTGCTTTTTCTGGTCTTGTCTCTGCTGCTGTTTTTATGTGGAGGTATTCGAAGTATAGATTAGCTGGGTGACACCTCAATACGATGCCTGCCGGCTCATTTTCTATCGAGCCGGGGGCGGCTTCCCTCACGTACTCGATGTGGGCGTCACTGCTGCCGGTGAAGCACAGCGTGAGATCGTCCAATCAAGCAGCTGAGGTGTTCAATATACGTGACCTTCTAGGCCAATCCGATTATTACCAGTTTACCAGCGTCGGCGAGATGACTGACCCTTGTGATGTGCCGGTGCTTCTTAGGTTTTATTTTGTGTCTGTAGGTAGCCTCCACGTAGCTCGGCGGTCTTGGTAGTGGGAAAGTCTTCAATGTAGTTGTAGGGTGTAAAAGTACAGAGATTTGTGTGAGTTGGTAAGCATATATTGTGGGAAACGCACAAAAATAAACAAGGAATAAAGGAAAACAGACAAACGGGTGCCAATACTCAACTCAATTTATGAAGGAAAAAAAACCCTCACAACATACGTGTTTATTAATACAAGCCATTTCAAAAGCGCGTGCACAAGCATAACAAAAATTCGTTTACCCATGATGATAGTCATTTTGTAGGTGCAATATTTGCAACATGCACAAGAAAGCAACAGACCAGCACAACTAATGGCTGATTACGCATCTTTCTGCACAAACATTGATGATAAACGCTTAGGCTATTTGCCGCATAGGATTGTGTGATTGAACAAGATTTTATTGTTACGCCTTTCAGGGTGACAATCTCTATTCGTGCGATTATCAGTTAGGTGTGGGTGGTCACTTTTTTTACTTTTTTTCTGACATCTGATGTTCTATAAGAAGAGTGTTAACGCATTGGCCAGTCTGACCAATGTAAACAATGCCGCAGGTTGAGGGTCATAAATAAACCACTCCTCTTTTGCTCCTACCAAGTTTTCCACTTCATTTAGAAAAACACGTGCACATTTTTCCTCTTTTTTGTCAATTTCACTGTAAGTACAGCAGATTCATTAAATCTTGTTCGTTTCACTCAAGCAACATTGACACCAAATCGCATGGCACCATGTCTCAATCTAATGTGATAAACAACTGATGTATCGTAAAACAGCAAAGCGTTCGCATTCTGTGCCTTTCTTTGCAGAATAGTTTTTCTGATTCCGCCTATTTATTGTCTTTATAACCCTTTCAGCCACTCTTTGCACATATTTGCCTGGATATGCAGCCGACTTTGAGCGATCGGCACCAATTAGCCCAAATGACCACCCTACTTAAACTGTGGGCTAGCTAACCTATGTCGTTTACACGTTTTCATATTATCCCTCCTAGGATCCCTCTCAGGCGGATACATGAAATACTATGTAGAACTCATGTTTTATGAAGATGGAGCGCAGCGGCACCCGTTACCAGAATTGCAAAGAAAAGATGTGTACTACACAGAAGTGGCGATGGCGGTAAGAAGCAGTTTCTTAATGTAGTACATCTGATAGTCATGAACCCTAGCACGTGTGATAATCATCAAACTAAGCGCAGGCTACCATACCATACATTCCCATATCAGAAGCTTACGACGCTAGAGTAAAGGAATAAAACTTTAAACGCGAGTGTGGCTTTTACGTTCAGGTGCGCCCAAATGAAATTTCGTTCCCCGGACTGGTAGCCGCTCGTCCGCGAGGTAAGCCCAGCGAAGTATACAGCGATCATCTGCGTGAGCACGGCATACCTTGCAAGCGAGCCTCACCCCCTAGTGCATCTAAATAAGCATTGCCTTGCATTAAAAAGTATGTTGTATGTTCTTTTCAGCGCTAAGACAAGACAACCGGGATGAAGGGAGGGGGGTCGGATCGTGAAGGATACGGCGTGCTCACTTCTCTGTGCAGCGGAGTCGGCTGTCCTTGCGGCGTCCCCTGAATAGACCCTCCATTGCAAAATTTTAATTAACGAATTTAGAACAATTGTCTAATATCCCTAGTAACCGGCAACGAGACTTCTCATATATCATTGATGTTGCGTAGTTTGTAATATTCTTTGCAACGCTTACAGGTACTTTTGTTACTGGTAATTGTACTAATATAATTATTATGGCACTTTAGCATGGTTTGTTGAAGGTGTATTTAATGTCCGGATTATAGTCGAGTTCAATGCTCTTATTTATTGTAGCCTTCTGGCTCGATAATTGCTCTTAGGGGTGCTTAGTTAACTCGCTTAACGTGCTTAGTTACTGTTTAGGGCATTGTAGAGGCGCAACTTGCGTCTTTCTCATTTTCGTCACAAGTGTTGTCGGTGATGGACAACCGGGTGGCCACAATCTGCTACTCATTAAAAAGCAATTATTTTGTTTTCAAAACGAGCAAAGCTGACTTTCCCGCACGCACGCACACGTATCCTCCACCTCCCACATAGAACGTTTTAGAGACAGTATTCGCACCGCCCACCTGTTCGTTTGCAGTAAATCACTATGAAAATGTAGTGAGGAGTGAGGCGAGCTTTCTGGAAATAGCGCGCATGCTCAAAGCCGTGGTACTCTTCTGTATCTGGCGTGCTCAGCCGACCATCAGCTACATCTGCGGTACTCGTAATTATTTTCTGGGCACCAGTACAACCTAAGACCGGCCCACCCTAATGCGAGGCAATGATATCATAGTCTAGTGGGACGATGGGCGAGAGATCAAAAACGTTATTGCATACCCTACATTGAATGTGGTCTCACCCCACAACGCCGACGCTGCCCAAGCGTGATGTACTACCGCGAGGATCAAGTAAGGTACCACAGACATACGTCATACGTTGACAGAAGCTGGGAATTCGACAGTGGGTTGTTCCAAAATGTTAGCGACCTAGGCTAGAAATTTAGAGAAAAAAAAGAGCGAGCAAATATCTTTCTGCTTCGGAACTGCATGGTTTCACGCGTTCCCTTGACAATCTCTCTTTTATCGTCACTTTTGAAAGTTGTCTGCGATCGTGATATCAAATAAAAAAGGCCGCAGTACAAGGGAGTCGTGGTAGTTTGCAGACGACTAGCAGAAACATTGCTGCAGCGTTCATCGTACGTATGCCAAAGCGCATTCAACCACAGGCGACATGAGGGAACGTCACTTCATGTGGTCGACCCAGGAAGATCCTCTCGCAAAGCAGCGTTTTTTATTTACGAGGTAGCGAAAAGCAAGAAAATGATCTCCCCTTCTCCAAACATGTACTTCGTGGAGCTTCGTTCAAGCTGGTCACATGTGTGAAGAGCCCAAAAGACTTTTTTTTTTTCAAGTCACTTGGCCCCAAGCGCGGCGCGGCTGAAGAGCCTCGATGAAAACACATGTCAGGATCGGCACAAGATGATGCATTGAGACCTCATTCAACCAGCTCTTATAATCTTGAAGAAGCTACATCGCCTGTATGCAGATGAACCAACTTGCGGGAAAGTGTCAAGATTCGCATCATATGAATTAGACAGTTTAGCATGAACCCAACTAGCCGCAGAATGGCACGGACAAAGAAAGCATGATGCCAACGAAAGTAAAAAGTTATAAACGACTTTTTAAAAATATATTTTTACTGTGGTCAACGCTCAATTTTTTGGTTCATTCGCATCATGTCTGCATACTTTGATTCAATACTAACAAACTATCATTTTAGTACACCTGCATACTGACATATAATATAGTTAGGTGCTCTATATGTGAGCAAAACTGCTGTCCAAATACTTCTTATAAGGTGGTTAGGCCACTGAGAAAAGAAGTATGCCTACGTTGGCATTTTCATCGCGGTAAAGCGTAGCCTTTCAGAACACAGACTTTTCGGAATGCCAGTTTCCTGCTGCTGCAATGTAGTTGAACCTGTAATGTCCCGGCGATATTCTTCCCAAATGTTGATCAGTCAACAATCTAGTGAGTCCAAACCTATTTCTGCAAACAATCTGCAACTAGTTCGGGAAAAATGGTCCATCTTTTCATCATAGAATCCGTATAACACGAAAGTGAAACGAGTCATTGAGAAGTAGTTGAATGTTCACTATACAGTGACATAAGAGAGGTTGAACAATGTCTGTTGTTGTACTGGCAAGTTGTTTCAGCACAAGATCATAGGAAAAAATCACACAGTATATAGTCATGAAGACAGTGCTCTTTCTGTTTACTCTGTCCTTTTTTGATATGTTCGCGTGATGAAAACACTTGCCAGTATGACTGCCATCTAGGCCAACTTTCCACTCCTTATATTTGTGTTTTACAGTTATACACTCTATGCACTGAGACTGGCGCGCTGCTGCGCGGCTCTCAGAGCAGACAGCGCTGAGAGCACGAGCAGCCCCAAGCACGTAGTTTATCTGAATCATGGGCAGTCGATTGTACCAACTCGTGCATGTCGTGTGCTGCGGGACCAGCGTTTTAGAGTTTCTCGACTTTCCCCTGCTTTATTGGGCAGCGAATCAGGTGGATCATGGCTGTGAGACTTAAAAAGGGTCTAGTTCATTCCCCGCTTCCATATCGCATTCAGCCACTGCACGTTTGATTTGGTCTGAGACACCACCTCTGCTGGAGCAATGATCTTGGATGATGTTCCTGCTGCCATAGAGCTGGTGAGAAAGAAAATTATGCAAGACATTTGAGGTCACAGTAAGGCTGATAGAAGGTTTTATTAAGCTTAATAATTAATAATTTACCGTGAACCCTCGAAGTTTTTGGGAATACAATATGAGGTCCATTACTGCTTTCCTGAGTTGATAGGATCATTAGTCAAGAGGCTGAGTTATGTAGCATATTACCCTAAACACAACTAGCCACCCAGCAGCGCTATGAGCACTCGGTAGGATCAAGCTATGACATCTATTGGTTGGTTGGTTGGTTGGTTGACCCTTATTAGACTGTTGCAAGCCACGATTGGGGATTTAGAGGCCCGTGTACTCAGATTTGGGTGCACGTTAAAGAACCCCGGGTGGTCAAAATTTCCGGAGCCCTCCACTACGGCGTCTCTCATAATCAAATGGTGGTTTTGGGACGTTAAACCCCACAAATCAATCAAATCAACGATTGGGGATTGGCCATGAAATGGGCGGTGCCCTTCTATAAACTTGAATTTGTTCATAATCTCAAAATGCTAATTGATAGATAATCTTTAACTAATTAGCTTAATTCACTAAAAAGAGTGATGTCGTTGAAGAAAAAAAAACAGCATATCTACCGAGTGATTGATGATGAGCGGGGCGAAGTGATCGCTTCAGACGCTTGTCCACCGATTATATCGCCCGCGCCGCATCGGGAGCCCTCCACTCCGTCGCTTTCTTTTCGTCGCTCATTGCGAAGCGCCCAAGCGAAGTGACTGCCGACGAAGAAGGAAGCACGCCAAGTCACTGCCACATAGATATCAGGACTGCTCTAAGTTGTGGTGACGTCATGCGCATTGACTGAATGCGCGTGACGTGAGATCACATGCACTGGAGGCTGTGAATTCACTGCCACTATCGTATTCCGTGAAAAAAAAAAACGTTCACGGCGAGTTTTACATGTATACAACAGCTTCATTCCATCTTTTGTGTCTGGATGTCTGGAGCTTAACGATTGTATTGCACTTTAAGTTCTTTAAAGATTTATTTGTAATTTATCTGGACGTAAAATTTATTATATTTATAAGAGCAAAGTTTGGTGGCCCAACAGAGACAAAACAAGAAGGGTGAATGTAATTATTTTGATTCGGACACGCACAGAGTCCAGAAGATGCACACAAAGTGTTCCTCTCATTACTAAGCTTCTGCAGTTCTTTTTTCTGCTGAGCGAGTGCGTTTGTTCCGCTGTGCATGTTCGTAGATCATTGTACATCGTCAACTTTCCCAAGTATTTGAGCTTGAAACGAAGCTCGCACACATAAAAAAATGGGTACCCTTAAATTTCGCCTTGAGGAGTTGAACGTGATAGCGAAATCTGGCTCCTAGTGCGCCCTTCAACCGCTAAATGCATACTTATTCATAGGTTTTGTGACATACACCCAGACGCACATAAACACGCACACAGTAAGATTGGACCAGCGCGTGCTATTATCGCCGGATAGGCTCATTTTAGTCGTGACACCTGTCAAACAATATGCGTTAAGGGGGCCCTGAAACACTTTTTGAAGTAACCATGGAATGAATTCACTTAAAGAGCTTATTCCTGCACGAATTCAACGCCGCAAAAATTTTAAGAATCTGTCCAGTGTGGGTTAAGTTACAAAGGTTTGTCGCATGCTGTAATTGCACTATCTCTTCTCTCGTCCCAACGAAAGTGCTGAAAGCTGAGCAGGGAGGGGTGGCTGGGCAAAGAAACTAGCGTGCCTCGTTACCTTGAGCACTTCTTTTTTCTTCAAATGCGCGGTTTTCAACGCGATCGCGTGCGCATGAGTGGACAAGTAGCGGCCTCGCGCGGCTATCTCGGTAACTTGATTTTTCAGTCACCGACGCACAGACGATTTCTCGCTTACAGCCAACAGG